GGGGGAGGAAGGTATGGAGGGCAACCATGGATGCCAGGGACAATGGGGGAGGAAGATGGGACATAGCAGAGGGTGGGGGATGGGGAATCAGGGATGGCAAGACAAAGGGCAAGGTATGCAGGATGTAAGAATTGGAAAACTATTTGCTGAGAACATGTATGTGGATGTGCTTGATTGAGCCAATGCACAGTGTATTTTGGATGGAAAATTCATTTGTGTGTTGTGATGGTGTAAAGTGAATTAAAAAAAAAAAAAAAACTAACCCGGCGCTTGTGCGTGGGGTCCCCAAATCCCAAGTGGATAATGGAGAGGTGATTGGGGGGATGGGGAGTGATTTCCAGTTTTCTGTCTCGGGAGAGAAGGTTGACTCTCCGGTGAGAACCCGTGCCCTGTAGCAAAAACCTTCCCCCAACCCACCCCCCCAAAAGAAAGGCATTTCTGCTTACCCTGGAAACTGAACTATAGTTAAGGTTGACCTGCGCACAGCTCAGGCAGTCGTCGACTTGCCATCTCCACGCCTCTCCTTCTGGTGATCGCTGTCCTTTCATTGGCTTCTCAAAAATGAGGTAAAATCACTCTTTTTTGGGGGCCAGGAAAGAGCCCTCCAAGCCTCCATTATAAACCACATATTCTGTCTGGGTTTACCCGAGTTTTCCTAGTCTTGTAAATGATAGTGTTAATTTTCCTTTCTTTGCCTTCTCACTTTTCCCATTATGTAGGACAGAGGACTGGAAGATAAGTCCTGGGGCTTCCTGGGCTCCTTGGCCACCCGTATTGCCCATAACACTCCAAATCCACCTCCTACGCGTATTGAAACCGCGTGCCTCCAGAAATCCAGTGGGATCCAGAGGCAAGGACTTTTCCTTCTCCTTAGAAAAATCGCTGCTAGGTCATAGAGTATGTTTACTTAAGTTCTCTTAGAGTGTGCACAGTGTTGTGTACAAAAAATGAGCAATAGATCAAATGCCATATTATGTTTCCAAATCCTGTATTTTGCAGAACAGTTCTCTGGATTGTTAAAAGATAAATGTAGAAGTCGCAGATGGTGTGTGTGATGGTTAAGGTGCTGAATTTCCACCTGGCTGACTACGTTTTGAATCCAGGACTTGGCCGCAAATCATGGGACCGACAGTTAGCGTAATGGCTATGTCGCTGGACTCCCACGTAGCCGACTGAGGTTCGAGTTCCGGACCTGGTGGCTTAGAACTCACGCCGCATGTGTGTGCGTGCCCAAGATCCCGGGAGGAGAATGGAGGAGAATGGAGGAGAAGTGATTGCGGTGTGGCTATCCTCCCTGGGGGGTGATTTCTTGCTTTCTATCTGTCTGTATGGTGAGCGCACGCGCCCTATAGCAAAAACCTCTCTTTAAAAAAAAAAAAGAAAATCATGCCAGGCACATGTGTGTGTGCTGTGTGTGTGCCCAAAAATCACGAAAGGAGAGCAGAGAAGGGACTGTGACCTGACCATTCCCCGGGGGAGTGATTTCTCTCACTGGCTTTCTCCTAGAAGTGCTATATGGTAAAAACCTAAAAATAAATAAATGTAGGTATTACATTTTTAAGAAGAATTTTAAATTTTATTTTATTTGTTATTGTCATTATTATTTTAATTTGGTTAGGTCATGTATGGGGGCGGGGAAGAGAGACAGAGAGAGAAAGCTCTCTGGACTTGAACCCAGCCAGCCATGTGGGAGTCTAGCACCTTAACTACCACACCACCTGCTGACCCTTAGTTCTTACTTTTAACTTATTAAGACTGAGAGTCTAAGAAAGAGCTAAAGAGAAGAACTTAGCACCAGGTGAGTTATCATTTTCAGAAAAGAGGCTTGCTTTTTTTAAAGAGAGGA